TTATGGAAAATGATTACAAAACTAAACTGAAGAGCAAGAATTCTGAACTCGAGCAGGCGAATGCAAAGATACAAACTCTTCTTGCCAGTATGGAGCAGTTACAGTCCTCAAGTAATGGAAAGGATGACAAGATTGGAATATTAATAAGTAAAGTTGCTAAGATGGAGGCTGATTCAAACAAGTTCAAGGAGGAAATTTCGAAACTTTCGAAGGAGTTGGAAACATTAAGAAATTCCACAAGCACTTCGTCTACTCCTGTTTTGAACCGGTGTACAACAAGAACTAGAGGCAAGAGTAGTGTTAATGTAACTGTGAAGAAAGATTCGTCGTCTGCACAACGTCCTCATCCTTCAAAGGACACCAAAAAGGTACTTCCGATTTTAATGAGTTCGAATCAGATGTGTTCTTATTTATTTCTCTCTGCTATTTTGTAGCACCAAATGCTGAAACTACAATATTTGATCTTCTGTTTTCTGGTTGATCAGGGGAGCGGCAGTACAAAGAGAGACGCAGATGATGTTATAACCATTACCGAGACTCCAAAGTTGTTCTCATCCAGATTTAAAGTACCCAAGTTGAAGAATGCATCATCACCCGGTGTAAGATAATCCAACTGCGTTTTCCTAACGGCGATTGTCACACTGTATTTCATGTGGAGTTGTTCAGTTTTAGCTTGTCTTGTGTTCTCCTAGAGTTCCTTGCTTTTGTGTAAATTATGTGTCAATTCTAACATGTAGTAAGATATATGATTGGATCTGTCAAGCATCTTAACAGTTTTAGCTTTTGGCTTGTAAAATGATCCTAGGCATCTATGTGGTGTTATCTTACACATATATCCTGTAAATTTTGACAATTTTTTTTTCTTTTTTATCAGCGGGAATTTGATTCTTAGTAGACTTATCTATTTTTTCCTTTATAGCATTTTTATTCTCAAGGCCTATTTGTAATTGCCTCTAAAAGCACTTCTACTACGTTACGCAGAAAAAAACTAAAAGCTGCTTTTGGATCGTAAAAGCCCTTTCTAAAGAAGGGGCTGCTGCACCACTTCCAGCTTCTCCAAATGCAAAAGAAATTAAGAGTTGCATTTTGGCCATAAAGCGCTTGCTTCTTTAGTGGATTTGGATTTTCAATAAAATTTTGGCATGTTAAGCTGTTGAAAAAGAGTTTTTAAGTATAAGAACTTTTTACAAACTGGATTGTTGATGGGTACCCATTAAAATCGATTTAATTTGATTTCACCTTATACCATTATCACCATTACCAATCTCAACTATATATTATAGTGATATCAAATTAAACGGGTCTTTAACGAGTATCCGTTAACAACCAAATGATTGATTTGTCACCTCTACTCACGAGCATATTTCCAAACTATCCACACAACTAATTCATTCTTAACTAATAACACAGCAGGATCATGAACTACAATTCCAGTGTAAAACAACACCACGAACATCATTAATTGTTACATGATGATGATGAAGTAGTTGTTTTCATTAACTAATAAGTACCCCAATAGTGAGGCCACCACTTGGACTGCACAGAAGACTGATAGGACACCAAAACAAGCAACAGCCCCAGAAACAAGGCCACGCCCCAGGGGGATGCTCCTCCACCTTCAGCTGCCTTATCAGCCACCGCCGCCTTCGTCCTCACCCCAAAGTTCCGGTATGTGATCAAACAGTAAGCTACAATGGTCAACAACAAGGGCAGAAACAAGACAAATATATTGAACCCGAACTTAGTTCTCTCCATCTGCGCCTTGTAGCTGGTGTAAGATGAAAATATTAGTAACGCAACCACTATGCCGACTAGCATCACTAGGGACGACGGCGGCGCGGAGACGGAGGCTAGGGTCTCCTCCATCCATCCCTTCCTTCCTTTTCTCTCACTCAAAAACCAACCCATCTCTCTCTTGCTAGTGTTTTTTTTTTCCTTCGTTTTTTTTAGTGAGATGAAGGATGAAGATGGTATTATATATACCCATGTCACTGTAGCACCTTTCGGGCGACGTATTTTAGCTCCTCCACGTGACATTGTATCATTGGTTCGGGATGTCACGTGGCATTCCAAGGTTAGACAGTAAGAGGATACAAAAGTACTATGGGAACTGGAGGTTAACTTTTCCCCAAGTAAGCTAGTTTTTTAAGAAATGAATCTTCTCCGTATCCCTTCTTTCTAATCAACTAAGTTCGAAGATCCGTACCGTTGAAATTTAATCAAACGACTATAACATAGGGGTCAATTTTAAAAGTTATAATAACTTTAGCCGTTGGATCAAATTTCAACAGTATGGATCCCCTAATTTAGTGGATTAGAAGGAAGAGATCCGGAGAGGATCCCTTTCTGTTTTTCATGATTTGAAATTGCTAGGGTTTTAAGGTGGGGTCTGATATGGGAGGTTTGCAGTGCAGTAGTGTTGCCTTTGTGCCTTTGGCATAAATTCTCAGGTTGCAGATTCTTATCTCCCACCAATCTTTGTATCTATTCCTTTTGGATACTTTGACATGCCCACCGAGTCGGATAAGAGATAAATGTGTTCGGAACATAGATATGTAAGTCATACATTATTATACAAGTGAAGAGAATTTTATTTTTCAAGTGTCTCTCTACTTGTATAATGACATTTAGCGTATATGTCCGTGTTCCAGACACACTAAAAAAATATCTCGAGTCGGAGAGAATTTGATACTAAAATGTTAAATTTTCCAAAAAAATAAAATATAATAAGCACATAAAACAGGGAAAGAAGAATATATGCTTCTTGGTTGATTGCAAATCTTCACGATCAGGGAAGGGTTGGATGTGCTGTATCTGCTATGTTATATGTGATTAAATTTTTTATTAAGTTTTTATGACGTGTTTGAGATTGTTTTACGACAACCAAACATGGCTTAGGACACTTGAAAGGACTTCTGATTGCATTTGAGAAAAAACCTTTGAAAGTGCTTATGACTCATAATTTTTTTTTTTTTTGAAAAATATATATGAAATGTTTTTTTTTCTTTTCAGAAAGCACTTCAAAGTGTATATTCAAGAGACACTTGATATTTTTAATAAAATTGAACGTGTAATGGAGTTGATTTTCACCTTTTCTTTTAACCTCTCACCCATTACCTTTTATTTCTGACCATCAAATTAAAAAATCAAACGAAAAAATCAAGATAATTAAACAGGATAGTATAAGAGGAGAGACTATATATACGTCAAATAAATGCTTTTAAGCAATTATATTACGAGAAACTATATATAAGAAATACTTATGCTCATAAACACATAAAAACACGCTCATTCCCCCAAACAAAAACCGGATACGGCGAAATATGGACCTATTGGGTCTTGTTGGACTTAAGTTGTTGGGCTTAATTAGGGCTGGCTTGAGTTGGGCTTCTTGAATAGCTCGGCCCGTTATTGCATTAGGGCTCCAGATGCATCCCGAAACGTTTCAAACCGCGAAACCCAAAAAAGGGAGGGGCAATTTTCCCTGTTTTGAATATCGAATTTCACACCCTCGCTTTTTACTCCCTCCGATTTTTTTCCTGCTATTTTTCTTCCAAAAACCCTTTTTGTTTCCATCTTTCGCCTGCGAATTTCTCACACACTGAAAATTTTGAGAGATGCCGCCGAAGGACGAGAAGCCCGCGAAGCCGCGGAGGGAGGTGGAAGCGGAAGAAGACGACGACGATGAGAGGAGCTTGGGTTCGATTGCGTTGGAGCGCAAGAAGAAGCAACCCACGAAAAGCAGTGGCAATGCGAATGGAACGGCGAAATCTACGGGCAGAGAAGCCGCTAAGGTGAAGAAGGAGGACAAGATGGAAGATTGGGATAAGGCCGCGAAGGCGAAGCCTAAACAAGAAGCCAGAGTGAAGAAGGAGGAGAACGGCGGCGGTAGCGACGAGGAATTGGGTTCGAAGCCGAGAAAGGGTTCGAATTCAAAGCCCCAAAAGGTTCTTGCTTTGTTTGTTTTTTTCAAATTTGGGTTTTGTTTGTGAGAAGGTACTGAGTTTTACTGTTTTACTGACGAATGCGGGTTATTTGGATGAAGGAAATCAAGAACAGCAAGGTGAAGAAAATGGAGGAGGAGGAGGAGGAGAAGAAGGGGAAGAAGAGGAAGGCGTCTGAGCCTGCGACGGAGGAGAAGAAGAAGAGGGAGAAGAAGGTGTATGATTTGCCTGGTCAGAGGAAGGACCCTCCCGAGAAGGTTCACTAACACTGCCTTTTTTTCTCTTGTTACTTTAATTCGGATTTGGAATGTTGCTTTGGAATTCTTTGGGTGATTGTTTTGTTGTACTTTGGAGTTCAGAAGGACCCACTTAGGCAATTCTACGAGTCGCTTCACCAGCAAATTCCGAGTAGCGAAATGGCGCAGTTCTGGTGAGTCTTAGCTATCCCATTTGTTCCGATAATTGGTTTTGCTTAAACAACTACTGCTGAGTTTACTGCATACTATTTGAGCTGCCTTATGCTTCTCATTGCATTCAGGCAATAGAATTTGTTTCGGAGTGTGTTTTATTGTGAGTAGCGAGTTATCTAGTTACCGCTATGCTGCTTGCACCGAAGCGCTGGCTTTGGGGTATCCGAAAGCATGTTTAAGTCCCCAATTCGGTGAACTTGAATTACAAATCAATGAATTGCATCGTGCTGCACCTAGTTTACGAATAAAATTGAGAGAAGTTTGGATACCTACCATTCAACCTTGTTCTTGTTGTTTAACATGTATGGAAATCAGGAAATGTTTACTTTTGTGCACGCTGCATTTAGGGCATTAGGTTAGTTATAGCTTGCAATTTACAGTTTGAAACCTGCCTGTTCGGTTGATGTCTGAGTGGTGGTCGTACTTTGAATTATGCTTTGCTTTTATGCTTGTAAACTTGGGAGCAGCCTCTCCATAAATGGGGGTAAGGCTAGCCGACATTCACCTTTCCCAGACCCTGCGTAAAGCGGGAGCCTTGTGCACTGGGTACGACCTTTTTATGCTTGTAAAAGACATAACAGATTCATGGTTTTCATACCAGTTTTGCTTGTTTGCAACCTATAGGTTGCAGACTAGTTAAGTTGGTTCTTTGCAACCAGAAGGATGGATTCGTAATGGAAAATCTTGGCCATTGGGTCATGTAGAATGATCCTAACCATCAACCCAATCCTCCCTTGCCTATAAATACGACTCTCCTCCCTCATGTCCTTCACATTTTCTAATTCGAAGTCCTTGGGCAGCTTCTCCCCAAACTGGGGATAAGACCAAGAATGTTTAAATCCTCCCAGATCCTGCAATGGCGAGAGCCTCGTTCTCTCGCCCTTTTTTATTATTTGCAATGCTACAACTCTAGCAGTTGAAACTAGAAACCAACCAAGTATAATTAAACCTAGATTGCTTCTGTAAAAGCATGGATTTCAAGTTTTCAATGTGAATTCAGGATGATGGAATATGGTTTGCTACCCAAAGTGGAGGCAGAGAAAGTGTTTGAGAAGAAGCAGAAGAAGAGTCAACTGCAAAAGCTCACTTCTCCAACGAAATCCGTATCTTCTGTAAAGACGAGCACAAAGTCAGTTACTGTTAAGAAGAGCACAAAGTCAGTTACTGTTAAGAAGAGCACAATGTCAGTTACTGTTAAGAAGAACACACCATCACCCGCAGCGCCTTCAAATAAGAAGCCGACACCAATCTCCAAAAGCGCAACAAACCAGTCGAAGAAGCAGAAGACGGAAGATAGCAGCTCAGAGGGAGACTCTGATGATGACTTTGTGGCCAGAATGGTAAAGAAGAAGAAGCAAGCAGCTTAGTTGTGCTATTTGTTTGTCATTAATCAATCACAGCCTTGGGGCATTTGTTCTGCTACCTTATTATTCGGCATTCGGATGTAATTAACTTTTCATTAATCGGATTGTAGCGACGTTTTAACAAAGATTAATCGATGGTTTATCTTGTACTGTTTGGATTTTTACTAGGGTTTTCTTAGTTAAAATTGTTTATCTGCTACAAAAGTAAAGTCCTAGAGATTATTAGGGAGAATCAGGAAGGTGGATTTTATGATATGCACTTTACGTCGTCGTTTCTGATTTTGTTTTTCCTTGGTCCGGAAGTAACGGAATCCAGAGAATTAAGTCCAATTAACAGGATTTTCTTAAATTTTATTTTTTATGTTTAATTAACTTAATTTTCATACCATGATGGTCAAGAGTTAATGGGCTTAAACTCAGTCTGGTAAGAAACTGGGCTTACAAGTTAATGGGTCAGCTACCTTGGTCATCATTATGATTTTCTGAAACATTTAAGGGAAGAGATTCTTATTTTTTTATAAAAATGAAAATTAGTTGCGGGATCCATACCATATCGAACTTTAACGATCTGAATCATCTATTTTTGAAATTGAACCTCATAGATCATTCTTACAAAATATTAGCTAAATCGGAAATATTTAAGATATCTAATTGGGTTCAAAGAAATAAACGAATACTTTGTTATATAAGAAATAATGAAATTTGATCTTGATAATTAAATAGGCAAATGGTTTCGGATTGAATTGAATTTTTGCAAGGATGATCTATGAATCGAGAGTCGAGACTTACAAAACAGACGGTTCCGATCGTTGAAATCCGATGTGGAGTAGTAGGCCCCACACCTAATCCTCATTTTTCCAAAAAATAAGAATCCCTTTGTATAAAATCCCTGTTTCTTTTCATATATACAAGTACAAATTTTGGTGTGTTTATTAACGTACGAATGCTCTTTATCCTCTTACCCTCTCTTATTTTTACCTACGAGATGAATAAATTAATGGTAAATCAAGGGACAAAAATAGGCGGAAAAGTGTGAAAATCATTTTCCATAAACGTATCACTAATTAAAACTTCTTTTTGTTTAATTTATAATATGTTTTGGTGAGTCACAGGGACGCTTTGCATGAAGGAAGGCAAACAAAATTGGTTTCAAGTTTATTTCTGGGTGGTGTTACGCACACTTTTTTTGCCTCTCACACCCCTGTTAACTTATGTTATTTGATCATCTTTAATTCATTTGATCTAACGGCCAATTTTGAGAGGTGTGTGTGAAAAGTAAAAATGAATGTGTAGATAACATCACCCTTATTTTTTCTCCCACAATTGGAAAACCTTTTCTACGATAGTTGCATCGACTTGAAAGATAAGACTGTGTAGGCTAAAATAATGTAAAAATAGAAGATATTAATTTTGTGTATTTGGCCGCACGGACACATAATCCAATTGTCGAACACAAGACATTTTACCCTCAATTGGCCCTAGTATGGCTAGGAATTTTCTTGCATATTCCTTCTTACCCAATTAATAACCCGAAAAACAGAAAGTAAGAAAAATCAAAAAGCGGAAAAGGATTTAAGGAAAACTCACTCTGATTAAAAAATAATAAAAAAATACAAAGACTATAAACCCTAGGGGCTCGGCCTCAATCTCCATCTATTCGACACGTGTCGCACTCTCCTACCTCCTCAAGGATTTTTATTCCTCTCGCGTCCCATAAACACAGAAGAAAAAAGCCCCGTCCTCCAAGCAACTCACTCTCTCTGCTTTCTCTCTCTCAACTCTCTCTACGCCTCCGCACCCCCGCCGTCGTCCGCCCTGCGTCGCGCTCATATATATGTGCTTTTGGCCGCAAAGACTGCAATATTGCTGCGAAATCTTCAATTGTAGAGAGAGAAAGTGAAAGCAATGGAACAGAGAGAAACACTAACAATGGAACAGAGGCTTCTACTCTTCCCCTGTTTTCTGAACGCCAGCGACGCCGAGATAGAGGTGGCGAAAATCCTGATTCATCTTCCCCACATGATCTCCGAATTCGAAACTCCGCTTCCAATTCCGCTCGCGCTCGTCTGGGGATGCAAGGGAAAGAGATCTGCACTCGCTCTGAAGAACGACGGCGGCGCTTCCACTCTGCGTCGTCTGATTGGACCTGATTTTTTGTCTTCACTGCCACTCTGGGCTTCTCTGGCTCCTCGGCCTTTGGCGGCCAAGGCTCCGCCGGCTCCCCCCGTCCCTAATGCTGTCAAGGAGGAGACTTCCAGCCCCGATACGCCGCTGCGCTTCGAGCCCAGTGAATCTGATGAGAAGCAGCCTGACCACTTGAGAAGTAAACTCCTTGGTCAAAAAAGGGTACGACTTTTTTTCTCTGTTCAAACTCCAAAAATAAAATAAATTCTTGTTTTTCCATAAGAAATTTTGTAATTTAATTTTCTGTGATATGGGTTTTGATTTTCTGGCAATTCTGGCAACTGGGTTCGATCTCTTTCTTTCTTTTTCCAATTTACGGATTAAATATTTTTGATTTATTTACTATTTTTCACTGTTTTCTGATATATTTTGGTTCTTACTGATTCTGCAGAAGACAGAGGAATGGATTACAATTGTGGACGAATTGACTTCGAAGAAAAAATTGCGAAATCAAGTGAGTATTTTACTTTAAATTATTTTTTGGTCTTTTGCAGCAATTTCTCTGTCTTTTTCTAAAATTCAGCCAAATTATCCTTTTTCCTTTTTCAATTTATTTATTTGATTTCGATTTTTGATAATTTGAGCAGGAGCTTGAGAATGTGAAGCGTTTCTTTGACAAGATGGATGGTCTTAATTTGGAGTTGAAAGCAAGGAAAGAGGAGGTATAATTTTGTTTCGCTTAAAAAATATTTTTCTCGTGTTTTAATTGGCTTACCCTTTTTTTGTTTTTTTATTTTTTAAACAGCTAATGAGACTTGGCCATAAACTGGAAGAGGAGCAGCGTTTGGATACGGACCCAAGCCCGGAACCAACTGTGCAATTAAGCCAACCGACCCAACTCACGTTTGTGACTCCGCCTCAAGCGGCCCCAAATCAAGAGCCTTACCAACATCCAATTCCAATGCAAATGCAAATTCCCTCTCCTCCTAGTGTGATTTTTTATCAACATCAACTGCAGCAGCTGATCATGGATCAAACGGCCAAAAATCAAAGAAGAGAGTTCAATGTGGGCCCGCGAGGGGATCACGTTAACCTCTGTTTTAAGGATTCAATCGTGTTGAACTCCTCCCAGCCGTTTGATCTTGGCTTGGTTAACAAGGATATGATTAGGAAAAGGGCTGCTGAGGCAAGGCAGAAGAGGCTCGAAATCTGTAGGGTCAAGAAATCTCGCTTCCACTCCAGATGACATGGCATTGGCTAATGTTTTTTTTAATTTTTTTAATTTTTTGCCCCTAATAATTTAATTACTTTATTTGGGGTGTAATATTTTAGCCAAACCAAAGGTTTGATGAGGTTTTAGCAATTATTATGGTGAGACTTAGTACGTAGATATATTGTACCTATAATTCCATATATTAACATTGTCATAGACCAATTATTTTGGTCTAGGAATTACAATTGTGTCGATGTTTGATTGATATATTGTTAATTTGGATTTCGTTCAATAACTATTTCCGTGTGTAACGAAATATGTACACGTGGCTAAATGTTTTGAGAAAGGAAAGTTCGTTTAGCACAACGAGAAACAACGAACACGTTACTTTGAGCCCTTTCTCTGTTGTGCGCGTAGATATCAAGGCATTAATGTATTAATACTTTTAACTATTTGAGTTACAAAATTTATTTATAGATTATAGTGTTAAAGGTAATCAAGATGATTCTAAATTTTAACAAAATTTCCCTATACATACATTCTACTGTTTCTACATAAAAAAACAAAGGCCCAACTAGAATATAGACCCAATGGGAATTCTAAGTTGGCTAGAGAATCTCGGCCGTAGATGACGGAGGAGGAAATGAAACCCTAGTTGCGTTCTTATATAAGTAATAGATATCATGCTGCTGAGTACTACTATTCGGTGATATTCTTCTTCATTTAAAAGTGAGAGATATTAGGTTTGAATATTGTGGATGACAAATTCGATACCAAATTAGACTAGCTTAACCAAACTCTTCCTTCTCTCAATGTAAAAATATAAATGTACTAAAAAATAAGAGTTACCCTTTTGAGATAAGAAGGCTTCACCTGCCTTTTCCTTGCGCTGAGAAATATGCCGAATCAAATACTATTTTAATTCCCGTCTCTTTCACACTCTCTCTCCTTACATATAAATATGGACAGAACTTGGCTGCTGAAAAAGTCAGTAGCAGTTCCTGCTCTTCATTCATTGCAGATGGACATGTATCCAATCTGTGATTAAAAAATTAATTACTTGGACATGTGTCTATCTGTTATTGGTGAGGAGCAGGAGCTGCTGTTGATTTTTTAACAGCCAAGCTAAGTTCTATAAATATTGATGCAAGTGAGGAGAAATATTAATTGGGATGAGAAGCTTGCAATTTTACTCTGATGCATCTATCATCTTCTATGTTTTCCTTCCTTCCTTTCCTCTTTTTTCCTTTTTTGTTTGGTTTTTTAATTTATTTTTCTTTAAATTTTAATAAGGATTTAATGTATTCTACATAATTGGAAATTTTTTTTCTTCGGTCTACGTTTTCTTTGATTTTCCCTGATCGCCAAATAGGACGATTTTTTGTTTGGCGATCGGGTGGAATCTGAAAACAAGTCCACTTGATATGACCATGTTTGATCCACTCCCTTCATCTTTGGCACTACTATGCAAGGTTAGAAGTAGTGGCTACAAGTAATAGGGAGAGATTTGGATTTTAGATCGATACTTGTTTCGCAATCCACATTTTTTTCCCCAACTGCTGGGAAGTTTTTCAACCCAAATTTAGTTGTTTGAGCTTTCATACAAATCACCAATCAATGTTAAGAAAATAATTATACCCATTTCTATCAATCAATTTTGCATCCCGTCAAAGTGGAGCAAATATTGAACTTGACGGTGTGGCAATTTTATAGTTTTCCGAACAAAATAAAATCAAAATCGAGTTTTAAAAATAACACAATTTGGAAAAAATAATCAAGGATTGGCAAAAATGACATTTTATTCCATACTTGGAAAAGAACAATCACACAACATCGTCTTACAAGATGATTTACTAATTGTAACTTAATCCAGCAAGGTGATAATCTTGCGTGATTAGCCGAGACAATAATCCACAAGCAAATACAAAAAAAATGATAAAAGCAAAAACGCAGATTTTACCATGTAAGTACACAAGCAAGCAATAAGGGACGCCCCCTTCCATGTCAAACCTTTCTTCCGGTCCTGATTTGTGATTGCCGGCATGTTCTAGTCCTCGTAATTCTCTTCTGCACCTTCCTCCTCGTACTCGCCCTCATCCTCCACGGTTGCATCTTGGTATTGCTGGTACTCGGCAACCAAATCATTCATGTTGCTCTCTGCTTCGGTGAACTCCATCTCGTCCATGCCTTCACCGGTGTACCAATGCAAAAAGGCCTTGCGCCGGAACATGGCTGTGAACTGCTCGCTCACTCTCCTGAACATCTCCTGGATTGATGTAGAGTTACCAACAAAGGTAGATGCCATTTTCAAACCCTTGGGAGGAATATCGCACACGCTTGACTTCACATTGTGAGGGATCCACTCAACGAAGTAGGACGAGTTCTTGTTCTGCACATTGATCATCTGTTCGTCCACCTCTTTGGTGCTCATCTTCCCCCTGAACATAGCTGAGGCTGTCAGGTAACGTCCATGGCGAGGGTCAGCAGCGCACATCATGTTCTTGGCATCCCACATTTGCTGAGTCAGCTCCGGCACGGTAAGGGAGATGTACTGCTGGGATCCACGAGAGGTGAGAGGGGCAAACCCAACCATGAAGAAGTGAAGACGTGGAAATGGAATGAGATTCACGGCCAGCTTCCGGAGGTCTGAATTCAACTGTCCAGGGAACCTTAGGCAGCATGTCACACCGCTCATGGTTGCGGATATCAAATGGTTCAGGTCACCAACTGCAAACAGATATACAATTAAGTAAAACTAGAACCGGGTGCTATAAGACTACTTGTGTTACTTGCAACATTATTCAAAAGAATTAGGTTGTCACTCACAGCTTGGGGTGCTGAGCTTTAGGGTCCTGAAGCAAATGTCATAAAGTGCCTCGTTGTCAAGAACCATGCATTCATCGGCGTTCTCAACCAGCTGGTGCACCGAAAGAGTGGCATTGTATGGTTCCACAACGGTATCTGAGACCTTCGGTGAAGGGAAAACGGAGAATGTGAGCATCATCCTATCAGGGTATTCCTCTCTGATCTTTGATATGAGAAGGGTTCCCATTCCAGAACCAGTTCCTCCTCCAAGAGAGTGGCACACCTGAAAACCTGCCCCGTATAAAAAAAAGACCATGTCAATCAGCATATTAAACAAAACTGGAAATGGGCAAGTGAGGTTTAAAGATTTATACGAACAAGGATCCAACATACAACCACAGATCCTCACAATAACAAATCAATGATATAAGTCCCTATAACCCAAACGAATATAAGCTAAATGTTCCCATGTAAATACAAATCACTAATCCTCAAACAATTAAGCATGTTACAGAAAAGGGTTGAAATTTTTCTTACAGCCATCTCAGATTTATTGCAATAGTTAATTTGCTAAAACAACCGGAATGAGATCTACTCTGGACCTTTGTGTCTGCAATCCAAGGACCGAGAGATATGGACTGTTCAAGAGAGCTCAATTTTTTTTAGTTTTTGTGAATCGGGCTAGTGGGATGGGTTAATAAGAACCCTATGATTAAAATTAAGTGACTCAAATCTCTCCGTCCGCGGACTTAGAATACAGAGATCCGCAGTGAATCTCAATCCAAAAGAACCAAGCACAACGTCGGTGTGGTAACATATTGACTGTTGGGAAATCACAATCATGCAAAAAAAAGTAAACAGATTCCTCATCTGTCTCCACTAAAGAACAAAAAACAAGGGGGACCACAAGCAAAATCAGCCATATAAAGATAAATTATATGCATATATAATATATATGCAAGTAGTAGTACAGTTAACCACATGGCGGTGCTAGGAAAGCTGACGATGAATATATCAGATCCACAACCAAACAAAAAGTAAAGGACAAGATCAGAGTTTTGGATGAAGGATCTGACGACCGTACTTTGCAATGAAGTTATTGTTAAATATGTAATTAACAACGCTAATGAAAACGGTAATCAACTGAATCTTCAAGCATGAATGTTTATAATCTCGCAGAAAATCAATTCCGATTCGGAAGCATTTCGAAATCGGATTATCAAATCTTTAACGACGAACTCATAGAGCAACAGAAACAGTAATCAACTGAATAATCATTCAAGCATCAATACATTCAATGTAGCAGAAATTCAAATCCGATCGAGGAGCATTTTCATTTCATAATTCATGTCGAAATTCAAAGAAATTTTACCTTGAAGGCAATCACAATTCTCTGCCTCCTTGCGAACAACATCGAGAACGGAATCGATCAACTCGGCACCTTCGGTATAATGTCCCTTCGCCCAATTGTTGCCGGCGCCGGACTGGCCGAAGACGAAGTTGTCAGGGCGGAAGATCTGGCCGAAGGGGCCGGATCGGATGCTGTCCATGGTACCGGGCTCAAGATCCATGAGGACCGCGCGGGGGACGTACCTCCCGCCGGAGGCCTCATTGTAGTAGACGTTGATCCTCTCGAGCTGGAGATCGGAGCCGGAGTCTCCTCGGTACCTTCCCGTGGGGTCAACGCCGTGCTCGTCGCAGATGACCTCCCAGAACTTGGAGCCGATCTGGTTGCCGCATTGGCCTCCCTGGATGTGCAGGATCTCTCTCATTGTCGCGACGGAGGTGCCGGAAATGAAGCGAGGTCTGCTGCTGCGATTACAAGGGCTTTTGGGAGGAACGGCGAGAGGAGGGAGAGATACGAAGACAGAGGAAGAGAGTGTATCCGAAGTCGGTGTTATGAAGGGGAAAGGGAGGAGAGAGAAGGGGGAGGAGAGAGAGAGAATCGGAGGTTAGGAAGGTAAATAATGGGCGGTGGGATATTTTTTAAATCAATTAATCCGTTGGTTGCTGTGTGTGTGACAGCCAGACAGAGAGAGAGAGAGAGAGAGAGTAAGAACAAACCAACTACTTTCTCTCTCTTCCTTCACTCCGTCGCTCTGGCTGGCATGGGGTGCGTGCGCACGTTAATTCGGTGATCCCACCCGCCCGCCAAAAAGTTTTCCCGCGGGAAACGGTGTTAGAATTTAACCGTTGATAACGAGCTTTAGTCTGTTGAAATCGACCGTATCATTGAGAAAAGCGAGATTTAATCCGTTGATTTCCTTTTTCCGTTTGCTTTTTACTGTCATTGGACTGTGTTTGGCCGGACCAGAAAATTGTTTTGTTGTTTCCGAACAAGGGCGAAAAGGTCGACCATGCAGGACGGCCCAATGTATTTTAACATATGTTAGTGTACATATATATTTTTAAAAATATGTAAATATTTAATGCTAATGTGCTGGAAAGGACCTCATTTTAATTTTTCGGACTGGGCCACTAAAAACTCGAGGCCCTTTATTGATGT